AGCCCGCCGCCCACCAAAGGCACCGGTCAAGGATAGCTGTGTCAATTCGCAGTAACTAGCATAGAGCAGAAGATCAGTGTCCACGGAGCTCTTTACTTCGGCTTTTCTGTTGGGCCATTGGCACCGAACCTCATTCGGACAAAGCATATACAAAGAATCAAGGTCTTCAGGCAATGCATGGCATTGCCTCCGAAACTGGCGGGATGGAGTGCCATTCCTGTTGTGCGGTTGTCCCGGACATATTCTCTGTCTGGAGAAACCAAGTTCTACACGTACATTTCTATGTGCAGAGCCGATTCTTGCACGATACGTTCCTGTATTATAATATATCTATATATATATATATGCATTTACCGTTGTCCACGCGAACGCCCGCGTACGTGTGCATAATGTAACTTTTGTCATCTTCGTTTTGAAGACCCTGATCGTCTGCATGCAACCGATTTTACCAACTCTGGCGCCTGGAGAATCTGGAAACAAAGCTACGCGCGCCCGCACACACACACACATAGATGCTCATACTTATAAACCTACATACATGTACATGTACATGAAACACATAATACGTATGCTTGTCGCTCTACATCTATACACATACACAAACACAAATCCACACATGTACATGACAATGCATGTACATACATGCCTACATGCTTACCCACCCACTACCTGCCGACCTGCCCGCCAGCCTGCCTACTTGCACACATACCTACTTACATGCACACGTTGACATGCGTCCAGACAGCCATTGACAGACACACACACGCACACACATACACACACCTACACCAACTGACCGAACCAGCTCGGCACACACGTACATCACGTACATACATACGATGTGTGAAACATGGGCACAAAGAAATGAAGCCGAATCCAGGCCGCCCCGTCTGCGGCTTACTTGCCGCTTGCAGTGACTCGCAGTGTCCGTGCTTATCATGGCTCGCCTCTAAACTCGCTTTTAGTGCGCCACCCCTACCAGTTTTAAATTCATACGTACTTCTTCTGGCTTCTTCCATGCACCCCAGGCATACAACGACTGTGACCAAGATGCAGGAGCGCGTCGCTTGGTACCCCAGCGTAGGTGAGCGCCCGGCCCATGGCGGCCAAGTAAGCTGCCTGGAGCAGGTCGACGTTGGTGCAAACGCCTTGGCACAACGGAACTTCGAAACCAACCGGGGATGTGAAACTCAACAGAAGGACAGCTTGCTGGAAGTCCTGATAGCATGCCACCCATCCCCACGAACGACCAAAGTGACTGGTGCTGCAGTGGGGCAGTGCTGCGAGCAGCGCCAGAAGACCAAAGAGGTCATGCCCTGGCTGAAAAGAAGTGAAGCAAGCAGAGTCGGGAAGCTCTTCTCCAGCGAAGGATTTGCGGCGGCTACGACCCCGACGAAGCTGACGGCATAAGGGAGGAGCACCTGGGCATGTCGTTCAGAGGCACGTCTGCACTGGGTGTTGCAAGTCGAAGCTTGTTACCAAGTACACTGGACCAACGTGAGCACACTATCATGCGACATGATTGATGCTACGAAGCTCTGCCGTTTTGGAGGGCTTCATCACGGGAATCTTTCTTCCTTCAGGAAGCACAAGCATGTGCTCTCTGAGACCCACAGTCTTACAGTTGCAGGCGAAAAGAAAAGCAGTGAAACGATCATCGGTTCAAGTTCGGCTGCGTGAACATGTGGAGGCGAAAACCAACAACGACTGCAATCACTCCAGACATCCATATCAAACCACACTTGTCGAAACTTGCCGTTGGACAATTGAATCAAGACGCTGCACTGCCGAGCACCGGGGACAGCAAGTCCTGAACAACAAAGCTCGGCTTGTCTTTGGTGGGCCCGAAGGTCAACGCCTCTTCGTCATGCCGCACCTGCAAGGAGTTGAAGACACAGGACCCTAGGCTTCGTCCTACGGCTCTCTGAGCTCTAAGAGCGGGCAAGCCTGATCATCGATCTTCTGGAGGTCGTTCATGGCAGTCAAACAGTTTTCAGCCGATGCTGCGGAACAGAACGTGTCAATTTCTGCTGTCTGAAAGAACCCTGGGCATGGGCTCGGGCTCTCGGGACCGGTCTTGCGTTTCCACCATCACCGTAATCACCTCACCATATCACCATGAATGTCACCATCATTGCGAACAACCACCACCACAACAACCGCAACAACAACAACAACAACAGCAGCAGCAGCAACAACAGCCACAACCGCAGCAGCAGCCACGACGACGACGACCGCAGCGACAAAAACAAACAACGACGACCAGGAAAAGGATAGCGACAACGACAATTGCCACTTCCACCAAAATGTTGTTGTCATCGTCGTTGTCGAGTGAGGTATTGATTTCTGTTCTAGCTTCAACATCGTCGCCATCGGCATCCTGAGCCCACCAGCATCATGCAAAACTGCTAGCTATACCCTCAGGGCAGCGCTTCGGCCAGCGAGCTTCGCAATCCGATAGCCCTCGGGCCATCACCACAAGCAGGGGCAGGTCACTGGACCAGTAGACACTCACACACGTTTGGCTATGCACCTTCTTCATCACTTAGTTACAGAAAAGGCCCCGGGCGATGCGTGGAAGACTTGCCCTGGCTGATGAATTCAAGCGGCGGTCTCTGCGCGGATGACTTCGTGCATGATATCCTCCCAGGATGGAAAGAAGGATCAATAAGTGCATGGCTAACCTGTGAGAGACGAGCATGTATGCAAAAAGCCTAATGCATCATGAGCAGAACATCACGATGGCAGATATTTCTGAATAAATCCTGGTCCTTGAATCCGGGGTTTCTCAATCAGGTTCCAACATTATGCTTCGTGGCCAAGCCAACAATAACCAGGCAGCCAACACCAAAATGCCGGATGATCTTGAAAGTCGATAGCCTATTGACAAACTCTTTCTTCAGAGTGCGGCAGTTATGCGCTGCTGCCGGGTCCCAACCGAGTAACGAAACACAAGTGGAGCTAAGCATTTACCCCATGTTTGAAGATCTTTTGGATGGCACGCTAAGAGCCAGGCATACTCGTGAAGACGTCGCTGGGCGATGAGGTGTCGCGCGTAGGTTACAACCTGACTGTGCTTCTGAAAAGTCTGAAAACCTTCAACTTTCTCAGCATTCCGGAGACGTTGACACACGACTGCCCCGAGTGTGAATCTGGTGAGACTCGCGGTTAACATCGGGCACGAAGCTTTTGTGCAGATCCTAATCTTCCGACCGATGCCCAGCAGCAATCCTCTGCCTCGAGAGCTTTCAGGCTTTGCCCATGCTCTGCAATGTCATTCTCTATGTTGGTTGACTGGCTTATGGTCAGGGTTCTAATTACAATGCGGAGACAATAGCAGTGTAGCCAAACAAAGGCGCAACCATGGGAGTGGAGGATACAGTGTATAGTTGCTAGAAACAGAGTACCTAAAGAAAGAACTACCATGGCAAAATAGACCTTCCAAATGCAGCAACTAAAATCGACGATGACCGATGAGCTAATGATGCTTATGCTGATGCTGATGCTGCTGATGATGATGGTCGCCATGACGACGACGATGATGATGGTGATGATGATGATAATAATAACGACTATGACTATGACGATCATCAAGGTGACTATGGCGACGATGGCTATGATCTTGATGATTATGGTCACGATGAGTACTATGGCGACGATGACGATGATGATGACAATGATGATGAGGCGGCTGGTTCCACAACATACTGAGCTTCAAGCAGCTTTCATGAACACATCCGGGCACTCGATCTCGTTGCCTCGGAGACTGGTCAGGAAATCCTCTGGGCTGGTATGTTTCACGACAGTTTCCCCTATCATCTGCATCGCGCCTGTCTTAGCAGTGCTATTCTACGTGGTGCATGCTTCATGGCACGAGGCACCCCAAGGCACTTACGGTCCACTCTCCGATCAAAGATGGCACTTGCACGTGAGTCGGGTTGCGGTGATTTTCGGTTACCGGTTGCTCTGGTCAGAATCTCAGCAAGAAACTCTCGCGGTAAGACGAGTCCAGGGCGTGCAAATCCGAAGATCTCGAGCGCACCATCCAGAGCAGCAGCATCGAACCTTGTTACAAAGCATTGGGATGATGCCGGCTGCGGGCTATGATGCATTCCAATCCCAGATGCAAGTCTCTCGCGGTAGCAGCTGTTGCATATGTCATAACCGCATTTCAATGCTCGGAAATATGAATGAATCAAACTTCGCACCTGTAGCTGTCAAGAATTAGGTTGATGCCCAGCGCGCTTCTTTAAGAATGCATGCACGCCTGAACCCATTCAAAGACAACCCTTGCCTGCAGCTTTCCGGCACGCGCTCCGACGGCTGCAAGGGGTCTGGACGGCTGGGCACCTGGTGATAAACCCCAAGCTGTCTAGATGGCCCCTTGCTTCCTAGGCCTGTCCCAAGATGTTACGAGCAGTTACTTTCCCAGCAATATTGGAGGCCTTGTCCACAACCTCCGAGACCACTTCGTCCAAGAGCTGGCGACAAAGTCAGTGTTGAAACAGCATATTAGACCTGTAATTACAGTCCACAGCTTGCGGTCAAGGGGGCATGTGCTAGATGTTGACCTTCGAAAAATCGGAGGAGGAGGAGCTGCGGCAAGTGGCATTACCAAGTCGGAAAACAGCACACCCCATTTCCAACGCAACGAGACAAAACGGACGTCGATTTGTGTGCTTACATGAACAGCCCGTCGGATTGGGGTGAGGGTGTCGGTGGTGTTTGTAGTGGCAGTGCCGGTGGTGTTCGTCGTCATCGTAGAAGTAGCAGAAGTCGTCGTCGTCGTAGTAGTAGTAGCAGCAGCAGCAGCAGTAGCGGCAGCAGTAGCAGTAGCAGCAGCAGCAGCAGCAGCAGCAGCAGCACCAGCAGCAGCAGCAGCAGTAGCAGCGGCAGCAGTAACAGTAGCAGCAGCAGTAGCAGCGGCAGCAGTAACAGTAGCAGCA